AGGCGCTAGGGTCTGCAAACGAGTAGTGATGACATTAGGATAGAATGGACCCTGTGTAGGAGGCTGTTTCACGTCTAGATGACATAAATTGCCCGGAGGTATCGTCGGCATCCATAAAAACATCAGATAATTCCCCAGGCATAGCGGGGCTGAAACTTACCCAGGCACAAGTACACCTAGCCTTGGGATCCACTGGAGAACATGAGCCTTATAACGGCATGAATGCCAATGCGCTGAAGAACGATATTTGCTATCAGGAACATCCCGACGATAAAGCTGGATGTGATAAGATCATGCTTAGGAACGTGAGAAAGCGAGGAGACTGTGCTCTTGGCCATAAACATAAATGTGGAGTTGAAACAAACTCCCAGAATGATATTAGGTAACTGTGCACACCAAACGTTGGCTATAGCGTCACAGGCGTCGGAGACGCTTAGAAAAAGCATCACAAATCTGTACATAAACATCTACCCCTGAGGAAGGTCATTACATCGACGGCGGATGATATTTAGGTTGCAGTTTTGATAAACATTGGAGATCACAACTCAAAATGATGATAATTTCAAATATTTGTTCATAGTTGTTCGTATATTTATTGAACATTCTTTTGGCATGACTGTGACAACGTAGTAGAGGTCACTGAGTCCAATTTTTCTATGCGGCATTTTGCTCTTGTTGAAGTGAAAGACATCGACATCAAATGGTTGTATAGGAAGATAGTATAGGACTTGGACAAATTTCAGCGCAATAGTTCTAGTTGGGTGCTCGATTGCGTTATTGTACTCATCGTCAACGGGTAGAAGTTGAAGACAACTACAGCAAGTGATACGTGTAGGATGTGTTATCCCCACTTTATCCTCAGACCAAAAACCCAGACCGAGTCAGACACGATGCGTAATACCAAACCACGCTAGATTTCACTGGAATTCGTTTTCCGTGAAAGTCGCAGAGATCTACAAATTTAAAAACCCAACATCGGCATTAATTTACATGGATTTTGATGCGCAGGTATACTCGCTCAAATTGACATCCCTCAATTCAAAAGAAACCAGTTTTGATCTCCTGTTTGTCCACACTAAAGGCTACACGCACAATGGTTAACAGGGTGACGATCACTATTGTTGATCAAAAATTTCTCCAGGATAAAGAGAAAGTGTCAGATGTCCTTTTGAAGAAAACAAAATTGTTTGACAGGAGTCACCACACATGAGAAGTTCAAAAAACACTGCCTTGATTGCATTAATGCCATGGCGATGAAGCAACCTAAATAAAAAAGGAGAAGATCTCTCTTCCCAATTTTCACTGCAGGAGGAGGATTCATTTTGTACATCGATTTCAAAAATGTTCATTATCCATACATGCCGTGGTCGCTATCAAAACCGGTTGTGTTGCATTATATCCGTGTGTATGACGCGCATCTCATCGTGAAATCGTTAGAAAAATTCTCAAAGCACAAAATCAAAGGCCGATTGAGAATCATAGACAGTCTTCATGTTATGGCGGTGTCGCTGAAGATCTGATAAAAAAAACACATAACATTTTCGGCACACCAGAGAAAAGTATTGAAATATACCCGAGTGCGTGACATATAAATGGGTTTATTCCTACGAGTTTGACCACAGAGGTATGATTGGCCGCAGACATTTTCGAAAATTTCAGAGACGTGTGCAGGAATTATTACAACTAGATCCTTGCTCACATTACTCATCACCGTGATTGTCGTTGGATGCCGCGTTGAAAAACAGTGGAGTCACCTTTGATTTGAATCGAGCTGTTCAAACTTACAAAGCAAAAATAACTAGAGACTTATATCAGCTTTGACACCTCTTAAAGGACCAGGCCACGACCTATTTCAAAAAGGACTTTTTTAACTCATAAACAACTCGGTGTTTGACCAAACCATGGAAAACATACGAAAAAGAGTCAAAGTCGACCTTGTCTCCGATGAAATGAACTGGTAAATGATCCCATCTTTGTCAGCATGAAAATCTTTGACGCAAACGTAGTAGTCATTCACAGAAAGAAAATAGATCTGGCCATGAACAAACTCATCTATTGCGGCTTTACACTTCTAGATTTGTCAAAAATGGACATTTACGATTTCTTTACTGATTTGTCAAAGCGCACAACGAATCCAAGGCCAAGTTGATGTTTACAGACACGGACAGTTTTTATTACAAAATCAACCCAATGCATGAGTACCAGGTCATGTTCGAGAATAAATGCTTATTCCACTTTTATACTATCTCCAATCCAGTCCCGTTTTACTACGATTCAAGGACGAACAGGGCAGTAAAATTTACTCAACCTAATTAGCAGGTGTGAAGTAAAAAAAATACACGCTCAAGGAATGAAGATAAAGATTCGTTAAAAATCTCTAATGCTCGATCATTATTTGAAGAAGCTTGCATGAATAGAACTGTTCTCATAAAGGCATACCATCCGATCGATTTGTCATAACCTATTTACATACTAGGTCAACAAAGTAGTATTATATTGTCATAAAGATACTAGACCACTTGGTGAGGACAATGTGCTTGATGAGCTTGGCTTGATGTAAATAGTCTTGGTGTGGTGGGAAGACCGCTTTGTTGTTTTTTTTTTAAACTAGGGTACTGTAGTGTATATTGTTTTACATCGTTGTAAGCTCGAGTCCGACTAAAACATGAGGATGAGCTAACTAATTGTCAAAAAAACCTCACGAATGCCAAAATAACTTGTTTCAGTGTGTTGGGAATTGCTTTGGTACATACTACATTTATTTGATCTGCTGTAGTTCAAGTTCCAGCTGTGCATGTATTTGCTGATGTAGTTAAAGATTCTTCTCTTTGCTGTAGTTCAGGTTTCAGCAGTTCATAGTTTGCTGTGGCTGTATTTAATATTATTGTCGTTGCTGTAGTTTATACTCTCTTATAAAACAACGGTCTCTCAAAATTATTTTCCTATTTTAAATTAAAATATTGACTCATAGTGGCACCATACTAGCAGTCGTCAAGTTATCGTCCCAGAAGATGAATAAATTCCACGCACTTAATATGCCTGCGAAAATTAATTTCAAATAAATAAGTTTATAAAATGTATAATGTCATTTATCTAATTTACATGTTTATCGTCTGAATCAATAAGCGTAAGAGAAACATTAGATAATAAAAAGAACGATTTAGGTTATGTTTCTTTTTTCAATAAATATATTCTTATGATACTAGTTCAGCAGGAAAAACAAATATTTTCACACCATTAAATGTCCATAAGTTCGTTTAGCAATTGTCATTTTTGTCATAAATCTCTACCTGCGTATTAAAGTTATTTTTGATTGTTTATAACTGTCATCATCATCATCACCAGCAGCAGCATGTTTATTGTTGTTGTTGTTGTTATTATTATTATTATTATTATTATTATTATTATTATTATTATTATTATTATTATTATTGTTGTTGTTGTTGTTGTTGTTGTTCTTGTTGTTGATGAGTATTATTGTTGATGACAACATCATAACTTTATTGCAGGATGTCCACAGGTGACAAAACAATAGTCTGAGAACTATGCTATATTGTGGACATAATTTTTAAATTTATAATATGTCAGTTTTGTTTCCTCGTTGAAAGCTTTATGCACCCTACGAAATATTAATTTCAAATTTACGCGATAAACATACACCATGCCATTTGGTACTTCTGGTAGATAAAATTACACATTTGCACATGGAATTGACGGTTCTGATATATTACCACTTACAAGATGTCTTATTCAGTGTTCGTTTTTAATAACCTCACTATAGACACCTGATTCAAGCATAAATTCGTTCTACTTAAGTTTTGTGGTAACAAAACACGGTATCCATGACTGATTTGATCTGTGTACATTTATATTTACTTCCACAGCAGGCTTTCAAAAAATAATAATGTCTCTGTGAAAATACAAGCAATTAATTTTTTGATATACAGTAGGAAATAAAGTTTGATTTTTAAGTCTGACTGCCATTTTATTGCCTTTTCCTGAGCCTCATCTTACAGCTATTGTATCTTTATGCTTTGTTTGCTTGTTTTGTTAGGTTAGATTTACTGCACAATCTCTATTAACATTCTAATTTCCCTCACTAACTGCATTTTTTTCCCAAGCATGATTCCTCCGATGTATGGACTTGAACAATAAATTAGTTTCAATTGTGTTTCCTTTGTTAAAATGTATGTTATTCAGTTATAGTCATATAATTATCTTCTAGAAAGCTTTTAAATGTCTCAAAATAACAGATGATAAATCTTTTCAATTTTTTTTACACTTACTATGAAATATCTTAGAGAATATTCTCTCTCTCTCTCTCTCTCTCTCTCTCTCTCTCTCTCTCTCTCTCTCTCTCTCTCTCTCTCTCTCTCTCTCTCTCTCTCTCTCTCTCTCTCTCTCTCTCTCTCTCTCTCTCTCTCTCTCATCTACCACGCCTTCAATGAAGTTTATTTACCTCTGACCTCACGTGACCTTACATCAGACTTGGCACAAGAGTATTTATTTGTTTGCTTCTGTGTGTAGGGCCATATCAATGTGTTTCTAGGGGGTGGAGGCATGCGGATACACAAGCAAGAAGCTGAAAGCGTGTTGAGGAAACGAATATTTATATATTGAGTCCTAATTTTTTATTTGTTTAAATAAACTTATATATACTAGCCGTTTCCTCTCAACACAAGTTTTATTGGACGGGGTTTTATGTGTTGTTATAGTTGTGGTTACAGTGGCTATTTCAAGTTAAATATATTACATGAATTTAATCATTTATATTTTTTTGCAAGCCTTGGGGAGTTAAAGATTTACGTCTTCAAATATTATTACATGAATTTTATCGAATAGAGATTTTTAATCTAAATACCGTATAATTTCGTTTATAACTCTAGTTCGAATGTAAACTGCACGTACCGTATCTGCCGTTGCGTAATGAAATGGCCGGTTGTGGTTTGTAATCGGTAAGACAGACATCATAGACCCTGGATTGTAAGCAGTTATAGACCGCTCTGATGGCCGAATGGTTAGAGCGTCTATCTCGGATGCTGGAGGTTGTGGGTTCGATCCCCGGCCAAGTCTGCGGCATGATGCCTCAGTGCTAGACATATAAAATCTATGTTGGGGTTTGGACCGAGACAATGAAACCCATTTGCGGGGTGACATTATTTGTCTCCCCAAGAGGCTTGCGGAGTAAAGTAAAAAGGAACTTCTTACTTGTGAAACATAGTTCACGCTCAAATGTTTGCATGCGGTGCATTAATATAAACATGTTATTGAGGACTGTGGTATGACTGTGTCATCTAAGATACTCATTTTGTATGCTTGATCAAAGAAAAATAACAAAAAATGTCGCATAGTAATTAGGTCTTATTACATTTAATATATGGATTTTTTTATGAAATACACAATAAATAAGTAATATTTATTACAAGAAACTTTTATTTTCGTCACTTAAAATAATGAAAAATAATATTGTAAATAATGAAGCGATACTGAGTAATCGGGTCTACTGTAGTTATACTTAGTACAAGCTATAACGAAAATTAACATTGTGACGTGTCGAATTTTGAAACTTGTTGAAACCTAATGTTAAATAAATTGTGCTTTCATGTTAACATAATCGAAGCAAAATGGTCAGGTGAAAGTTAAATATTTACTTCTTCATTTCATCTCTAACATAAAAGGAATTATTTTAATCCTCAGTTAAATCTGACCCGGACATATCTTATGGTACAAGGGGCACACGTCAAATAATAGTTTTCAAAGGACATTAATTGTGAAATGTTTTGGGCCAGTGAAACTGACGACGGAAAATTGATTTGGAGGGAAAATTTTAGGAACAGTTATTTCTGATTGGCCAGGGAAACTTAAGAGCATACACTTTGATAAACGATTTAGGAACTTATCTCTTTGAAATCCTTCAGTTAGATTTTTGTTGATAGAAGATTAAGTCTACTCCTGAGGTGCACTAATGAAGTAGTTGGCTTCATGAAATTACAAAAAGGCCAGATAGTTCTCTTAGAAAGAATACAGGCTAAGGCTAGAACTGTTTGGAAAATAAAAAACGTCTGTACTGGGACAGCTTCGTAGTTCCAAGTTCAACCTTCATATTTCGTACTCCGAACGAGAGAAAGGAGGAGGTATACGGAGAGACCTCAATGAGTCGAAGAGGAAATCTGCATCATCGGGATGTCAGATCAGTGAGGGTAAAAGAGGGCCAACCAATTAGATAGACTTGGGAGACAAGTTGTGTGAAGACAAGTGTCAGGTGATGCTGTCAAACATTAGAATGGACTCAAAATCAACACTCGAGTAAATGATGATATTTATACGCTATAATTGAATTCTGTCATTGACCATCAGTTGAATATAAAGTCGATTTGGCTATGCTTTAATTGAATGCATAATTTAGTAAATCGTTGTATGAAAATTAAATGTTTCTTTGATTATATGTTATATGATTAAAATTTTATATTTTATTCATTGAAAGGGGCTCGTTGTTTTATTTCTTTTAATACTTTGCTCAGCTATCTGTAACGTTCCATCTATCCGTCCACACTGTGCAGTTACACCGCGAGAGATCATTCCATAGTTACCACGCCGAATTGAAAGGATGGATTTTAATGTTTTATTTCCCCTCTTATCACAAAAATGTTGCATTAGATTATTCATGAGTAATTAGATATATGTGTCATTATCGTATATAATTCTTCCTATTTTTTTGAAGAGGTGAAACCTTTTGTTAAATACTTTTGTAGTCCTAAAAAAAGATTGCAAAACTATACTCGTGTATAAAAGACCCTCCAAATGAGGACTCTAGCTAAATTTTCAGGTTCACGGATTCTTTGAAAATTTATTTTTCTGTCTTGTATATATGGCAAGTGCTACAGTGAAATTTGCTTATGGATGAATAAGTCATTCCTACTGTCTGGTAAATGCATTATTTGTCATTAAATATTGTAGGTATATTTTTGATTCAGCTGGGGCACAATTAAAAATACTCAACAAAATTAGAATAAAGCATATTTGACATAATATATTTCTGGCTGTTAATAAGTTTTGTAGTTTTTAAAAGAGTTGAAGGTAATGAACTGTATAGGTCTATAGTCTATGTGCATGGATCAGTGTTTTCCGTCATAGTTCTTTCACGTAGCATTGAGAATTTTTTTAACAGTAAATAATTTGCTTCACACGAAGAACTTAAAACTAGTTAGGTAGCTTTAGCTACATTTAATGACGCTGATCTGAAAATGTACTGAGCTAGGCTTGCATATAGGAAAAAAAATTAACCACGCTGTGTGGAACGAGCTAGCATAATACCAAACGGCTCAACATCGTGTGCGTGTGTCTTTGTCTCTCGAAATGTTTTTGTATGGTGTGTTCTCAAAGTTGAATTGACCTGACTTTAACTATGTTTTTGTTATATATTTGTTGTCGTTATTTGATTTTAGAACAACTACGTCAGGCACAGCTGAAGACAAAAATGGTTCCTTTTCTTCAAAGTAGTTCTGAGCACGTGAACACATTGACTGAGACGACTGATCTGAGATGGCTAGATTGAGTTAAGAAAAGTAAGGTTATCAAAACAGCTAGATTTCTCTGTCGCATGGGTGAGAAATTATTATAAACTGCCACACTGCATACATCGTTGCGATATGAATGAAATTTTTAAAGCTACGTTAAAAATTAGAACCACACACACACACACACACACCATCACACACACAAGCAAATATAAACATTAACACACGAGCTAGCTTAGTTTCAAGTGTTGTTTTTTTTATTGTTTCATTTTGGAACCTAATGTTTACTCGCTACATTATATCTAGTACTGAGCTGAAGTGCCGCCAAACCATATAATGCACACACACACACACACACACACATATATATATATATATATATATATATATATATATATATATATATATATATATATATATATATATATATATATATATATATATATATATATATATATATATATATATATATATATGCTGTTTCTGCAGTGAGAAGTATATACGAAGGCGAGTCCGAACACACTGACACAGGTTGATTCTGACAATTTGCAACAGTTTTATTTTGTCGATTCCTCCTGTTTTAAGTCGTTTTAGTACAATAAGATTTTTGCACAAACAGAGCGGGCGCCATTGGAGCTGTCATCATCCCAACAGATGCTCCATTGCTATTTTGCGTATGTGTATGTCCCCCACCACCACCCCGCTCCACCCCTGCATCAAGCTAAGCTCATCAAGTATATTGCCATGACCAGATTGTCTAGTAGCTTCATGACCGTATACAAGAGTCCTAATACAGTACTCAGTGCATCAGAATTGGGATAATTTGAACACTCGTGTAAAATAAACTACTCCATTGCAATATACACAAGGCTGCCTGATGAAGTCCAAATCGTACGTGCTTCTACAGATACCATGATCATATAAATTCTCGTGTGAGAAGATTTGTCTGAATGATTCTCCCACTGCTTTCGTCGCAACGAGTTCTGAATTTATGGGCATGTTATTTCTGTTGACTGTAGTTGCAGCTTAGTTCAGCGACACCGTTATATGCAAATTCACAGCTGTGATGAATATGTCTTCTGACATTTTTATATTAGAGAATGGTATTTAAAATAAGTATAATGGATTTTCATCAACGGATAAATGAGGGTATGAGGTAACTATTGTCATTGTCTTCTGTACTTTTGCAATATTGGTTACATTGTTACCAAAATATTATCCAGTTTATTATTTTATTCCTTTGCTTCTAGTTTAGGTTCTATCCGTTAAAGCATCGTATGTAAGTTAATCCACATCCGGATAGAAACAACACGAACGGATTTGCCGTAGACACAATAGACACTATGCCTGCCACGGTCACCGCTCGCGATGGGAACCACTGTAGCGATCGTCAAACCCCATTTATATTACCTGTACGTGTACTTGTGCGCGGAGACTTTACATTGGTAATAACACTAATAGGATTCCAGTTCGTAACTGTCATCCAGTGGCAAATGTTTGTCTATGTGTTTAAATTCGATCACAATTATTGCCATCTTATAGTTTTTCATGGACTAATCTCTGAAAAAAACACCTCCATTTCAATCAAGCAGCTGTTCTGTCAGGAATTGTATGTACTTTCCAGGCTAAACTTTCGCTCTCCGATTTCAGTTGATATTCCGATTTATTGATTAGGTGATTGACCTGAGGTTGGCATAGTACGTGATTCTAACGATGTCATGATCGAAGAATTCTTTTCGTTTCACTCGTGTGAGTAGGATTTTTCTGCGCGCTACTTCTGCGCGGTATAGAGTTTATGGTAGCACCTATAAAGGTAATAAAACGACAGGTAGATTCTTGCCACGTTAATGTTTCATTTTTCATACACTCTTGTTTCACAAACAAGGCTTTCGGCCATCTCCTAGTGCGACCAAATAACCTATGTGTATTAAGAAACGTCGATTTTCTTTTTAGCAAGTCTTTCATGTGGTTTTTTATTCGCCTCATCCTCCATACCACGCTGCTATATTTGTCCCGTGGCAACGATGGCTTAGACGATTTCGTGATGTAGCTCGGCTATGACACAATTAATGATTTTTTTGTCCTCGATTTTCCTAATAAAAACACTGCATTTTATATCGTTGCAGAACGTCCCCACGGCGTTCTATTTGTCAAGAGGCTCTTGTAGATGAGTTGTCTAAGTTATTCCACAGACAAATAATTTATTGCCACTTTTCCGTAAGCCGCGTAGTCAAATTTGGGTAGATCATTTATGACTTTTTCCGCTTCAGTTTTACTTTTCGTATGCGGTTTTGGCTTTATAATCCACAGGTTTATCATCATTTTTTTATCCAAAACGGTAGTCTCGTGATATTGGGAACTATGCCTACAATAACTGACATTGTATTTATTTTACTGATAGAATCACAAAATGTCGTCTAACAAGAACAACTGCAAAAAACTGAGCCCGGGATTCAATAGTTCCCCCATGACACAATAAATTATGTACATGATGTATTTGGCGCTGATAACGTGAACTCCTGGAGGATGTTTCCAGTGGTGTCCGTTCTCATGTACCATGTA